CGTTATGCTGTAGATAAAGATGGAACCACCTGACTTAACATGTGAATAGACATTAGCCAGGTGAAGACGAGGAAAAAGACTTTTCCAGATAGTTGGAGCAACTATGCAACAAATGCAAATTCCCAAGTCTTGATTTAATATGGTATTATTATCTCGATAATAATATAGCCTCTGGAAAGGCTGGAGATCAAGGGGGCAGAAATAAGAATGGTTAGCTAGGCAGGGGTTACTTCCCTGGAAAGTTACCACAAAAGTGTTTTTTCTCTCTGCCATTGCAGGCTTCCAGAGTTCTCCTATGGCTTTTGAAAAAGATCCAGTAAAGACTGGTATAAAATCAACTGTCTAACCCCAGAGTTGTTTTTCACAGTTGACAGTGCTGAGAACTATATATAATCCTGAGTTCTTATGTTATAAGGTACTTTGTGGCTGCTAAAACTCCTCAATAGGTAAAGTAGTGACAATGTGTATGTGTTTTCAAGATAGGAATGTCGATGATAGGTTTGGAAAACGGTACAATAAATTGGCATTTGGTAGTGTCAATTTTGTTAATCATATGAATAACCCTTTAGATAAAATAGTAAAAACCATTTATTGAGCACGTACTGTGTGTTCAATACTCAGCACTTAAAATGGATTTATCCATGTAATTTAATCCACACAACAATTCTAAGAGGCTACTTTTTAATCTGTGCCATGCATTATTGGTAATTTCACTTTATAGATGAGGGAACTGAGGCATGGATAAGTCTATAAGTAGGGTTCAATCATGAAAATAGAAACTGCTCCAGGTATTTCAAGCATAATGGTATTTAGGACAGAGAATTAGGTGCTTAAAAGCCTTTGGAAGGGCTGAAGGAGCTAACGTCACATTAATTTTCATTTGTGCCACTGCTTCTATGGTTGGTCCAGAGAATAGAGAAGTTGCTGCTGCTGCCACCCAAGAGCCAGAAAAGTTCAGAAAAGCACTGTTGACTGTCTACTGAGGCAGAAACTGGCAGGGAAGCAAGCCAAAGCCCAAGCAAAAAACACCGAGCAATAATTTATGTCTTTCTGCCACTTTCCAGATCTCAGGAAATACATCCCACTTGACAAAATGTAAATGAATCCAGAACACTGGTGGTAAGGGCATCTGGGAAATGTAGTTCCCAGGATTCCAGTATGCCTTGGGGAGAGCTGAGAAGGGTATGAGAATGAATGCTATTATTAGTTTTCTATTGTTGCCATGAAGTTACCACAAACTTAGTGGCTTAAAACAATACCCACTTATTATCTCACAGCTCTTTAAGTCAGAAGCCTAGTGGACTCAGCTGGGAGCACTGTTTAGGGTCTCATAAGACTGGAATCAAGGTGTCAGCCTGCCAACACTCTGGGGAAGAATCTGCTTCCAGGCTTGTTCCAGGTTGTGGGCAGAATTCATTTCTTTAGTGTGGTTTTCATGTGGTTCCTTCCATCTTCAATCCAGCACCCGTGGTTTGGGTCCCTCTTATGTATGAAATCTTTATGAATTTCCTTTCTGCTGCATCTCTCTGACCTGCTATTTTGCCTTTAGGGGTTCATGTGATTATATTGGGTTCACCTGAAAAACCCAATCTAATCCCTCCATCTTAAGGTGAGTTGATTAGTAAGCTTAATTATATTTGCAAAATCCCTTTTGCCAAAGATGTAACATAACCATGAGAGGAATACCAGGGGACAAAGATCATGGGAGTCAGAATTCTGCCTACCACAATTCTCACTGGAAGAAACTATCAAACAAAAAAATTCCAACACAAAAGGTTAAGAGATTTGCTCAAGATCATCCATGTTATTCAGCTTTCTCAATTTTAATAATAATAACTACAATGTACCAAGTGTCTACTATAAGTCTGGAAATATTCAAGGAGGTGTCTCCCTACTATCCCATGTATTTTTTAAATCAAATATAGACAATATATATATATATTTTTTGCGGTACGCGGGCCTCTCACTGTTGTGGCCTCTCCCGTTGCAGAGCACAGGCTCCGGATGCGCAGGCTCAGCGGCCATGGCTCACGGGCCTAGCCACTCTACAACATGTGGGATCTTCCTGGACCGGGGCACGAACCCGTGTCCCCTGCATCGGCAGGCAGACTCTCAACCACTGCGCCACCAGGGAAACCCCCTAGACAATATTTTATAAGAACTGTAAATGGAGTATAACCTTTAAAGATTGTAAATCACTATGTTGTACACCTGTAACATTTAATACTGTAAATCAACTATACATCAATAATAATAAATAATATAAAAATCAAATAGCAAATTGAGAATCTTCATAGTACTTCATATACTGAGTTATGAGAATTAATTTAAATAACATGGATAAGTGCTTAGTGCAGTGTCCGGGACAATTAAGAACTCAAAAAATCCTTTGTTGTTATTATTCCCATTTTAGAGACAAGATCATTGTGGCTCTGAGAGGTGACCTAACTTGTCCAAGACTACATGGCTAATAAGTAACACAGCACAATTTTGAATACAGATTGTCCAATTTCAAATGTGGAAATAAATGGGAAAAAATGCATGTAATGAACTTAATTGACATAATGCCTGGTAAATATCAATTCTTATTAAAATGGCACACAAGATACCCAATCACCCTAAATAGGCATGATATTTCTAAAGGCTACTTACTCACTATTGACTGAATTAAGTCTAAATTCCTTATCTGGCTCCAGTTTACTTGCCTCACACTCCCTCCCACACCATCCTTCTCTCTCAGCAACCCTATACATACCCTTCAATTATATTCAAAATTGTTATTTTCTCAAGAGATCAGATTTGTGGTTAAGAGAGGTGTGGGGGGGCAGTGCTGGGCACGGAGGGAAGCAGTGGAAATCAGATGAAGCCGGTCAAAAGGTACAAACTTCCAGTTATAAGATTAATAAGTACTAGGAATGTGACATAACAACACGTTAAACACAGTTAACACTGCTGTATGTTATATGTGAACGTTAAGAGAGTAAATCCTAAGATTTCTCATTACACACAAAATTTTTGTTCTGCTTCTTTAACTTCGTATTTATATATGATGAATGTTCACTAAACTTATTGTGATAATCATTTCATGATGTATGTAAGTCAAATCATTACACTGTACACCTTAAACGTATACAGTGCTGTATGCCAATGATATCTCAGTAAAACTGGGAGAAAAAATTTTTACGAAACAAAAAAATTGTGCAAAGATTGGCAACATTTTACATTTTCCCTAGTGTTTGATGTAAAACAGCTGGATTCTCACATCTGTTTCTGCATTCAATCTGTTGCAAAAGACATGTCAATTTTCTAGAAGCTTCTGGAAAATTCCATTGAACACTTGTGACTATGAGAATGAAAAAGGCCAATAACATCTTCCTATTGTTATGAAAATAGAATGACCTTGTAGACCTCCAGGGATCCCTGGACCATATTTTGGGAACAGACTGGGTTAGAGTAGGTTTTTCTGTTAATGACCTATTTCTAGATCGTCCGACCTTGGCTCATTTTTCTAGTAGCCAGTAGTTATAAGCAGGCAGCTCCATCCTCCATGATGAGGAGGCCTTAATCGAACTAGCTGATGGTGATATTTCCTGCACCCGGTACAGTGAGGGTACTTAACTATTCAATGAACCCAGGATAATCACCAAAAGTGTGGTTATTCGGCCGCAGAGTAGGTCTCATTAAGTCTGATGCAGCCTAGCTTGGCAGATCCCTGGGTCGATTTAGGAAACTCGAGAGAACACAATGGGGCCATGACCCCTCGCCTGGGTTGCAAAATTTAAGGAGTTGTCACAAACCTCTGAAAGCAAGATCAATTATATTTTATTGTAGTGTTTTAAAAATTCAAATGGGTTAGCCAGTGCTTGCGGACGGGCCGCCTGTTTTTGTAAATACAGTTTTTTTAATAGTGATCTTCGGAAAACTTTCAGTCGCTCGAAGTACAGGCCCAGCTCAGGCGCTTGGTCGCGTAACCCGCCGGTAGGTCTAACGTCCTGACAAAGAAGCTCCGGAAGGCGAACTTTCCACACCCCTCAGCAGACTTCCACTTCCCCGCCGCGTTCTCCCCGCCCCCTTCATCCGCTCGTCTCTGATTGGCTGGGCTGCCGCAAGTGCGCGCTGCCATTGGCCGGAAGTCCATCGGGGCTGGGCGCAAGGGAAACTTACCTCAGCTGGTTCGCGAGGAAGCGTTATTGTGCTCGGCGGCAGCGGTTGTCGGCGGTAGCGGTTGTCGGCTGTAGCGGTTGTCGGCGGTTGTCGGCGGTTGTGGGGAGAGAAGCGGCTGGCGCGGCGCCGCACTAGGTACGTTGGGGCCGGGCGAGAAACCTGCGCGAGCGACAGTTGGCCGGGACGGAGGTTTCTTGCGCGCCGCGCGCCTGAGTGCCGGCCCCCGGAGGCCTCGGAGCGCCGCGCGAGCCGGGCGGTTGCGGCGGGGTTGACTCAAATGTGTCCGCGGAGTCGTTGGGGATCCGACCCGGCCGGCAAGACAACGGCGAAGAGCGAAAGGACGTGTCTCCACCCGCTGTCCGAGCGGGTGGTGGGCGGCGGCGCGGGCTAGTCGGGGCCGCGTAGGGACGTTGCCTCAGGGTTTGGTACTCGCCAAGTAAGTAAGTGGAAGCATGGGGCCCTACCGGACTACATTTACAGACTAACGGAGAAAATGTAGTAGTCCTCCGCGCAACTTTGGGATTCCGTCGCCAGATTTCCAGGAGTTTCAGTTATAATTTATCTGAGGAAACCAGGTGCCAGAACAGTTAAGTGATCTTCATCAGGCGGTGGGGAGGCTTTCCTTGATGTACATTTTATGCAGAAGGTACTAGAACATCAGGGAAAACAGAAAATTCCGAGCCTTAATGCCCACATGCCTTTTTAAAGGAAACCGCCTGGAGCACAAACGTGTAATGTACACCTGTGGAGCTCACCAGTGTTGGGATGCTGTGATTGAAGGATGAAAGCCGTGTAACGGCAGGCGTGGTTCTTTAACACAGTTTATTTTTGAGGAAGTTAAAAAGAAAAAAACCATTTCCTGCTTGTCGCCCTTCCCTCACCTACTTTCAATTTTGGCAAGTTCAAGAATGTGTCCTGTACAGAGGAAGCAATTATTTTGCTTTGTCTCTCTGATTACAACCTTGCTGTGCTTGGAAAACTGGCTTGGAAAACTGACTTCCACCTTTCCGTGATACTGTGTTGAAGATGAAGTTTCCAACATTGTAAGCCAGCATGTGTTGCTTGCTTTGTGACGAGCCGGTATTTACTGCTCTGAAGACTCATAGATGGTCAAGACCTAGAAAAAGATGATCATACTGAGTAATTCATTAGGAATAAAATATTAAAAAATAGAAGAATTATGTGAAACCCACTTAAACGGGCTGTTATGCTAGATTGGGATTTCATACTCTTTTATTATGATTTTGTCATATATTGTAGCCAGTAAATGACTGGCGACAACTATTTGCAAAACAAATGGGGAAGAACATTCAAGATAAAAATAATTTATATCACAGGAAAGCTATTGAAAATACAAAAATGAAGCATCTGGCTGAAGGACTGATTACATTGAGTTCAGCTCTTGTGAAGTATGTCTTCTTAGTTCGTTCGTCCTTCAATACATTTTTGGAAATGTTGAGTCTGACCGTAATCAAATTAATCTACTTAACTCTCAGTCTTATCTGCAGATTTGTACAGACTACATCCTAAGATTGACTTCTGCCTCAACAGAAATGCATGATTTGCATCTTTTAAGAACTGGTGTATCTAGGTACATCTTGAATTTTCAGCTGTTTATCTTATTGACGCTCATACTTCACCTCAACCTTCAATTCTGCTGTATTTCCTTGCTACTTAACATCTTGAATTCTGGTATGAAAATATTGCATGATCCCTGCATCTTTGCATGTGCAAATCATGTAGTTCTCTTATAGTGGGTGTGTACAGATGTATTTCATTTTATATCAAATTTTAAATAATATATCAGATACTTGTTAAAAATAAACTGATTTTAAATGCACAAGAGTACTAGTTCTCATTAAGTTGAGTGAGATTATATTAAAATACAAAGAAACATATTCTTCTATCTTATTTTGTCTCATATCCTTACATCGTTTAAATACTTATTCTGTTCTCTAAAGCTTAATTAAACCTTGACCCATATCTTTAAAATGCATTACTATAGACTCAGGTAACTTCGTATCCTTTTTTTATCTTTACCAATCTAAGTAGGACAGAAAGATTGTAGTCAGGTAATATCTAGAGGGAAGTAAACATAACTGTTTGGGTAGGGGAGATAATTGGATATAATGTGAATTTTTGAATTTCTGATTAAATTTCTAGGGATATAAGGGGTGTTTGTATACAGATCTTATTAAATTTAACCATTAATTATATAGAGGCACTATATGTATCTACTAAATGTGGTATCAGTATACCTTTGAAGTTCTACTGTGTATAGTGCTGCTGATATGAAATAGCTTATGGTAAAGCTATGGCAAAAGTTGCTGAGGCCTGTTCTGGTACTCTTTATTAAGGAAAAAATAACCCTGGGTGGCTTTCCAGAGGTTCATTTTTATAAGTTGAGTATTCATTTAGGCAGCATTTAATAAAACTTCTACATGAAAAGCATCTCACTGAGGATATAAAAGTAAGACAAGTCTCTGCCCACAAATATCATGACTAAAATATGAATTTCTAATGGGAAATTCAGATAAGGAAGTAGTTCTCTTGGGGGAAGTCTTTCTCTGAAGAGATGATCTTTAAACGAGACCTTGAAGGAGTGGAGAATAAGGGAAAATGTTGGTATATGACTGTTCTGATGAATTTGAAAAAAAAGTGAAGGATAGGTTTATAGGAAATTCAGAGATAAAATTTAATAGCTTCAGGAAAAAGGAAATATAAAAAAGATAATGCAGTCGTGATTCTCTGGTTATGTATTTGCTTGTAACAACTCAAGTATTGATTTAATTACAAATGTGATGAAAAGATGTATAGGGTATAGAAAAGAGCTAAATCCTCATCTGTATGTATAGGACCTTGATAGTGGCCAAAATTTGTAATTCAAGAAATACTACTGTGAATGTATTTTAAAATACTGAGATTAAAAAAGAAACAAGTTAGTTTAAAATGATTACTAGGCATTGAGTGTTGACAAGCAACTACTTTATTTCACTATGAGCATTTTATGCTGCTTAATTTTTTTTTTTTTGGTGGTACACGGGCCTCTCACTGTTATGGCCTCTCCCGTTGCAGAGCACAGGCTCCGGATGCGCAGGCTCAGCGGCCATGGCTCACGGGCCCAGCCGCTCCGCGGCATGTGGGATCTTCCCGGACCGGGGCACGAACCCGCATCCCCCGCATCGGCAGGTGGACTCTCAACCACTGCGCCACCAGGGAAGCCCTATGCTGCTTTTATACCACTACATCGATAAAATTTTTTTAAGTAAAAGCAAAATTCTACTACCACTTAGAAGATGCTAATGCTGCTGGTCCATGGACCACATTTAGAGTAGTAAGGATTAGTTCATGCTCATTATACGATTGTCACCTGGCACAAGTTGGTCATGTTTTGTCCTTTTGTTGACCACTATATATCCCTTAAAGGTAACATTGTTACTTCATAATATCTGATTTGTACTTGTGATATGAGATTTGAGTCTTACGATCCTGGGTTTAAATACTGGCTCTGAACTGTGTTTTTCTGAACAAGTTATACAACCTAGCTTAGATTTGTTTTGGTGTAAATGTAAAATATAACAGGAATTGTGCTTTATTTAGTATTGATATGTATAATGTATTAAGGTAATATCTCAGCAACAAGCATCACTAGAGATAGAGACATTTTGTAATGAGAAAAACCAGTCCAGCACCAGGAATAGAGAAAATAAACTCAATCAGTATGTACCCATGGCTTCAAACTATATACTGTAAGGGGGGAGAGACAGTGATTCAGTTAAAAGAAATAGACAAATCATAGTGGAATAGACAAGTTGTGGAATCATAGTGGATCACTCTGAACACACTCCTGTTTTAATAGCTGGAAGATTATAAACAACACAGCTAAGAAATTTGAACTAGTTGGCGTCGACATAGAATAACACTGTACCCAACAATGTTGGAATACAGGCTTTGCTCAAATACACATGGAGCTTTTGAAAAAATTGGCTGTGAAACTAGCCTCAACAGATAATACAGGATGGAAATTATTCAGAGGACATTCTCTGATTACAATGCAATTAAATTAAGCTAACCTTCAACAACAAAACTGCAACTTGGAAATCTGCAATTGCCTGGAAATAAATGTATTTCTAAATAATGCACAGATCATAGAAGGAATTATAATGGAAATTAGGAAGTATTTTGAACCAAGTAATAAGAGGGCTTATCAGAATTTGTGAGACTTGACAAAGAGACAGGACTTAGAGGAAATTTTGTAGCTTTAAATGCAAAAAAACAAAAAGGACTGAAAAAGATTTGGGTTTTATCTCAAGCTGGAACAAAAATCAAGCCTGAAGAAAATTGAATCATAAAACTAACAGGAAATGATGAAATAGAACACTGCATACAACAGAGAGTCAGGAAAGTCAGAATGTCAATGCTTTGACAGTATTGATTAAATGGATAAATTTCTAGTAAGAGTGACCAAGAGAAAGAAAAACAAAACATGTCAGTAATATCAAGAATAAAAAGAGACAACACTACAGATCCTGCATGTATTACAAATGTAATTAGAGAATATTATGAAGAACTTTGTAAACTTGAAATTCTGTTAAATTTTGAAATTTTGTGTGAAAAAAAAAATTAACAGAAAAGTAAAATATGAATGATTCCTATATCTATTTTTAAAAATTCAATCATAATTGAAAACCTTTATCACTAAGTTAACTCCAAGCCCAGATGGCATTGTGATGAATTATTTTTAACATTTAAGAAAGGAGTAATACTATTTGCAGACAGAAACTCTTCAGAGAATGGAAAAAGACTTTCCAGTTTTTTATATGAAGCCAAAATAACCCTGATTTCAAAACCTGATAAAGGAAAAGAATGACTCATCTTTCTCATAACATTGATACAAAGTCCTAAACAAAATGTTAGCAAGTTGAATACAGAAACATGAAGCAAAAAAATGGGCATATTATGACTGACTGAGGTTTCTTTCAGAAATAAGCTAGGTTTAGTATTTTAAGAGATCAACCAATATGATAGAAGTTAATTGAAAAAATGAGATTATATTATCTAAATATATATGAAAAGGATAAAATTGAAAATGCATTAATGATAAAATCTGGGAATAGAAGGGTATTTTATTAATCTAATATTGAGCATTTGTAAAACGTATAGCAAAAATCATAGTGGTGTTAGTGAAACCACACACTCCTTTCAAGATTGGTAATGAGTGAAGGATGCCTGCTAACAGCATACCCATTCATAGCATACTGGAGGTTCTAACTAGTGCAATAAGAAAAATAAGGCTTAGCAAGAAAATTATGACACTACATAGAAAGTTCAAAAGAACTTACTTGGTTTAATAAGTGAATTTAATGAATTAATTGGAGATACGATCAATAAAAAAGCACTGATTGTATTTCTGTATGATACCAGGCAGAAAAATGAAATTTTGAAGTGATGCCACATAGAAAGTATTAAAAAATGAATGCCTATGTCAGTAATGGGATAGAGGAACAAAAGACATGAAACATATAAAACAAAGTAAAATGGTAGCCAGAAATCCAGCTATATCAATGTTAATGTCAAGTGTGAATGGATTAAACAATCCAGTCAAATACCAGATTGTCAGACCAGAGGAAAAATAGCATCCAACTATATGCTGTCTGTAGGAGACACACATAGATTGAAAGATACAATTATGTTGAAAGCATAGAAAAAATCATGTGAATAGCAACTATAAGAAAACTAGAGTGGCTATACTAATTTAAGACAAAATAGACTTTAAAATAAATATTAGAGGTAAAGAGGGACATTTTGTAATAAAAGGTGCAGTCCCTTAGGAAGTTATAACAATTACAAACATGCCACTAACTAGCGCCAAAATATATGAAGCAAATATTGACAAGAATTGAACAGAGAAATAGAAAATTTCAACAATAATAGTTGGAGACTTCAGTACAACACTTTCATAATGGAAAACTAGGTGAAAGATCAATTAGAAAAGACTTTAATAACGCTGTAAATCAACTAGACCTAAGAAACATCTTTTGAACACTCAACCAAACAAAAGCAGATTATATTCTTCTTAAATGTACATAGAAAAATTTCCAAAATAGACATTATGCTAGGCCATAAAACAAACCTCAACACATTTTAAAGGACTGAAACCACAACAAACTACATTCTATGACCACAGTGGAATGAAATTAGAACCTAAGAAGAAGAAATTTGAGAAATTCACAGCTATGTGGAAATTAAACAACACACTCCTAAATAATGAGTGAGTCAAAGGAGAAATCATGAGGGAAGTTAGAAAATACTTTAACATTAATGGAAATGAAGACATAACATACAAAACATTTTGGGTGCAATTAAAGCTTTTCTTAGGAAATTTGTTGTGATAAATGCCTATATTTAAAAAGAAGACTTCAAATCAATAAACTGACTTTTAATCTTAATGCAGAAAGAGGAAACCTAAGCAGAATGAAGGAAATGATTAGTAAAATCAAGAAAGAAAAAAATAAAATTAATAAAATCAAAAGTTGTTTTTCAAAAAGATAACAAAATTGACAAACCTTTACCTAGAGTGACCATGAAAAA